TCCATCGTGAAATTGAAGCCCCTGCTCGCCCTCTCCTTCGACGACAACGAAAAGAAGTCGGCACCCCTTGACGGTGATTGAAAGTGATGGACTTTCTTGAACTGATGCATTAGATTGTCCCACTTCTTCCCTCATATCTCCGCATTCCTGTCCACGCCGACGCTCTTCAACCTTTGGGCGACGTCTTGCCATTTCCATTCCCGCGGTTTCATCCGTGCGTATGCGTGCCCCATCCCCTACATATGCGCATCTTGGTCATGTTTAGCCCTTATGAGGGCTATAATGTGTTCCACGGACCAGAAGTTGCGCTTCTCCTCCGCATCATTGGCGCCTTCGCCACCGCTCCCCTTTCCCTGCCCTTTCTTCGCCTGCGGATGAGCATTGCGGCCGGAAGCCTTGGACTTCCCACCCTTACCAGCCATGTCGCTCTGCAACGATGGCGACACATGACCACCCCCCCCTTCCCCACAGTCTACGTCGTTGTTGTCGTCGTCGTCGTCTGCTTCCGCCGGTGGATCGTCCGTCTCCTTCTCGTCCTCCCGGTCTCCCACGTGAAGACGCTCCACCCCCCGTGTGATGTATTCCTCTCGCCGCAGCCAGTGATCCCGCCACAGGTCCCTCCACACCTCCCTCCTGTCGCGACCATCACCAACATCCAAGAAGTCGGTCCCGCCGTCGACTCCGACGCCACGGCCTCGTGCCACTTCCGACGCCGCAGACAGGGCAGATGGCAACTGCATCCACTCCGGCCGACCCTGGGTGCCCTTGGACAGAGAGGCCGCCCGTGGTTAGGCCGTCGACGAGTTCCGGTTCGCTCCCGCCGTCTCACTCGCCAATGCCCTCGTCCTCGCTGATCGATCAACAACTGTCAATTGCCCGCCTTTGTCGCCGGGGTGGGGTCGCACGAGCACTATGCGCGATGGAGTTGTAGACTGCCCGGTGGACAAACCAAACGACAGGCTGACGTGGCCATGTCCTTCGTCTTCGCCAAGGCCAGGCCGAAGGAGTTTAGTGAACAACTGCTCGTACACACCGCCGCCCGTCCCGCACAGCTCCGTGGCTGTCCACTCCTGCGTTGATCCGTTGCTCAACGACACGGTTTGTGGCCGTCTCTCCACCTCCTCCTCCTCGTCCGATGAGCCGAGGAGTGGTTGCAAGTGCGGTGGCAATGCATCATACCCAACCCGCTGGGATGCCCTGCCAACGGTTGGCAGGCTCCCCCCGCACAGCCTCCCTCCGACCTGCTCCCCACCGGACCGGGCGATCGCCTGTCGTGCCTCCATCCTGGCGTCCTTCATCGAAGACCTTGTTTTGTGTCAACGCGGCGGCACGTTCCCAAGGATGCACACGGGGAAGAGAACCACGAGGAGCAGCAACATAACAGCGGAGCGCAGTGCTGCAAACGGCCGTCCCGACTTCGCAACAAACCCCCGAGGACGTCTTCGGTCTCCCACGGTCAGTGCGTAATTGGGACCTGGAGTGCGGCCTGAAATATTCGTATTTGTCGACCGTTGGGACATTCCCGCGGATTGCCAAACGTGACGACGCAAGACGGCACCTTCGGGATGTCGGGGATGCCGGTTGGCCGCAAACGGTAACCGTTGGAGTGAAGCCGAACGTTGGCGACCCAACATGTGTGTGGAGACGCAGGCAATACCACTGATGGACCAGACGGAATTGAAAAATGTCGTCGAAGGAGCTGCCGTCGACGCCCCGATTCTTCCGGAAGCTCGACCTCCGAGGGACCTCGGGAGGTCCCTTTGAGAAATTGCCAAAATGGCTGTGGCCCCGAGGAATCCCCGAGGAAATGTGTTCACATTTTTTTTTCCGCATCTTCCCTGAGGATGAGTGGAACGAGCATTTCCTTGGGGAATTTCGGGCCCCGAGGAGTGTCGAACGAGGCCCAGAGCCTGCTGGAAACCGGGTCCAGCGTCCCACAGGCCACGACCACCCAGTCTCAATAGGACAAAACTCCTCAAACTAGCCTTGAAGCACAAAAAAAGGCGACTGAACTAATCGATAACAAACCTCTCC